AATCCCGGCCCTGGCCAGCACCTTCCATAGCATCTCTCGGTCCACCGAATCATACGCCTTGTCCAAGTCGACGAAGCACATGTAGAGTGGTATTTTCTTCCTCCGCGCCAGCTCCTGGAGGCGGCGCACGACGAACAGCATGTCGACGGTGGATCGCCCGGGTCGAAATCCGCACTGTTCCTCCGGGAGGATGTTGTTGGCTTCGCAGAAGGCGCTTAGACGGTTGGTGATGATCTTGATGGGGACCTTGCCTACGTGAGATAGTAGCGAAATCCCCCTGTAGTTGTTACAGTTGGACCGGTCACCCTTCTTGTACAGCACCTTGATGGTTGCATCCTTCCACTCTCGCGGAATATCTCCTCCGTTCCACACCTTGACGAGGATGGTATGGAGGTGTCCCAGGACGAAGGGTTCGTCGTCATCGATCTTGAGCAACTCGGCAGGGAGGGAGTCATGGCCGGGTGGCTTCCAGTTCTTGAAGCCTTTCGTTGCCCGTGCCACCTCCTCGAGATCTGGCAGATCTCCCAACTGTTGAGTGTCACGTGTCGCTGGCCGCTGCGTCACTCGTTCGATGATGTCTGGGTTCAGGGTGGGGGCTTTGGTGTTGAGTAGGGTGCTGAAGAATCTCGCCCACCGCTGGAGGATGTCGTCCCTGTTCCGGAGCAACACGCCGTTCTCATCCGCGACGAACTGCTGTCCCCCCGCTTGTCTCCCGCTGAGGCCCACTGATCTCTTGAGGTGTTGGTACAGTCCTCGTATGTCGCGATCTTTATAGATTTCTTCGAGCTCAGCCACATATCCGTCCAGGTGGGCATAAATGCCCGTTTCGACTGCTGTAGCCACTCCCTTTCTTTGAGAACCCTCCACGTCGCTGAGTTCCAGTTGCCCCTTATCGCCCGGCGCGCTTCCCGACGTTTGGTAAGGGCCTGCTCCAGCGCTGCTCGCGTCTCTGGGGTCTCACACCACTCCTGCGTGCGGCGTCTCCGCGGTTCCTCCCCCAGGGTCGTCCGCGCTGCGTCGAGGAGAGCATTGGTAAAGTCGGTCGCCAATTCCGCGGCGGTGGTTGTTCGCTCGTCCAGTCGTGTGTCGAGGTTGAGGAGGAACCGATTAGTCACCGCACACCGTGCTGCTTCGAACTGCAATTCCCGTCGGTTGAATTGCTTCTGTTTCGGTTTAGTCCGGACTGCACGGTTGTGGGCAAGCCTGCCACCGAGGTTGACGGTGGCTACTACCATATTGTGGTCTGAGTCTGTTTTGACTGGGCGAACCGGCTGGGGGATGACGACCACGTTAGATACTCGGCCGTGATGTGCCTGCCTTGTCAGGATGTAGTCAAGGCGCTTGCAATCGTTTCCCGACACACCGTTGTACGTGTGCCATATTCCGCCCTTGCGTGTCTCAAAGAACGTGTTCGTGAGAGCTAGCCTGTCTTCCGTTGCGAAGTTCAACATTAGCATGCCATTGTCGTGGAGCTCATCACGCCCGAACATTCCTATTACCCTTGCGTCCCCTCCGTCCAACCTATCTCCCGTCCGCGCGTTGGCATCCAGTAGGATATACCCACATTCTTTGGAAGGGATCCTCCGCACGAGACTGTCAAGTTTTCCCCAGAACATGCGCTTGCTGTCGGCGGTTGAAGGTTCGGTTGGAGCATACGCGGCTACGAAGTTGACCGCTCCACGGTGGCCTGCCAACAGAAACCTCATGGCCATAAGGCGTTCGTCGATAAACTTCGTAGTGAACGTGGATGTCTTGCACAGTGACTCTTTGACGGCTATCCCCACACCATGGACTCCACCAGCCTCCGTGCCACAGCAGAACACCCGGAAACCCTCTGCTGCAAGTTCCGTTTGACCTGCCCTCCGTGTCTCCTGCATTCCTACCACCGATACGGCTTGTCTCGCTGCCTCGTGTAGAACGCTGTAAGCTCGCCCGTATCCATTGGCCCCGTTTACAGCCAAAGTCCGCACATTCCAGGTTGCTACCCTAAGAAGTTGACCCTGCTGTCTCTTTCGCGCGGCGCGCGCTGCTCTCGTAGCTAGCCTACGCGCCGCCCGACCCCTCCTTTTCCTCCATCTTCCCCTCTTTGTTTTTTTACTATTTTCTTGCGTACACTCGGGCTAACGTGATAGTTACCCCGATTTTGCCCCCGGTTTTTGCCTTGTTTCCCATAGAGTTGTCTTGTTGTCCCGGAGCGGTGTGGCCCTCCATCTCTTGACTCTCTCCTTTCCTCTCTTTGGGGCATACCCCCACGGCGTGTGGCCACTCCGCCACCCTCACCGTGCTCTCTGCTGCTGCATAGCCCCGGTGTCCAAGCCGGGGCGTCAGGATCCAGTCTCATTTTGCAGCTACCAAAGCTGGCGGCTCAGGAGCTACCCCGATCTCACGACAGCAGTAACTCCCAACCGCCAAACTCAGGATCCCCCTCTAAACAGTGCTAGGGACCGTGTAGCCGTCGTTGCTGGGTGGTCTTTCGAGGTCTAGATCCAGTTGCGGAACCTCGGCCTACCCCAGGGACGGGGGGGGCAGGCCAGCTAGGAGAGTGTGTGAGGCACGCCCATCAAGCACGAGGATGTGCGGATTTCCGTCGAGCACGCCTCGGTCGTCAAGCTGCTTGTGGAAGTCCTTGAGGTACTTGATGAACACGTCGACCTGCATGAACGAAGAGTCCGTGCACGTGTACCTCGCATCCTTCGGGCCGTTCCTCTCGGCCAACCAGTCAGGCTGGAGTCGCTGTCCTTTGAAGATAATGGTTGGCGCCCACGTGGCACCATGGACGCTGATGGTGGTGACCACTGTGGTATTATCTCGAGAGTTGGACCGCATCGACTCAACCACCTTCTGCCCTGCCTCCGCGAAGGCCTTCATCATCTTCGTGCATTGCGGTGTGGTACCTAATTACACCCGCGAGAGAGGGAGCGTAGGTGGAGGTCAAGGGGGGTGACCAGCTACGGCAGATATAAAGTGCAAAGGTGTACACGCACAAACACATTGCAATGGGCAGTCTACTGCGCTCCTAGCAGGATAGACCGCCCTTCACCGAAGGGGCGGGGCGGTCATGTATTTTTCGTGAAGCAAGCTGCCACCTACTTTGTCTACTTTCGTCGGCGGTAGTTGGTCTGGACTATAATAGCAGCAGGAAGAGCAACAGCAAGGTGTGCCTATGCTATGCTCGGTACTCGTCCTAGACTAGACTCGTTTGCTGAAGTGCATCATTTACACACATGCACGCTGTCCTACTGTTGTACCCGCAAGCTACACTTTCTGCAGGGTAGACTTGCGGAACAATCGGCTAAAAAGACCATGCGACACAGCCCTTTCTCTATCGTACATTTGTGTCGTTAGCAGTCTGAACTACTGCTGAACTCTAGACCACCCTAGACCACAGCCAGCGTCGACTTCGGCAACATGGAACAGGTGCGAGGGCGCACAGCACAGGTGAGATAGAGCACAGCAGTACGTACGTACGTACACCAGAAAGAAGGACGCCCCGTACCTTTGAAAATTCGGCCGCACGCACACCAGGTTTCCGCAAGATACTGACATGCCATCTTCGCGGTGCACACGAGCTCGCACACTGCAGCTTCTACTAATACCACACTGGTCTAGACTAGACTAGCCATCAAGTACATTCTCACCTGTCTCGTCCGTGTTGTGCACGTGGTCGGCCTCCGGCTTGTGCTCGTCGAGGAGAGCTGCCCACTTCTTGTAGAACTCGGCGATGCGAGGCTCCTTGTCCTCTGTTTGACTCGTAGATGCGAGTCGTGCGCTCCGACACCCGTGGGTGCCTCTTGAGGAAGCCGGCTAGCCAGTCCTTCCCCGGGCCCTTCTCTGAATCCTAAGGGATCGGGCGACCGTCGTTGCACAGCTGTCTAACGGTTTCTAGCAGATGCAGCCGACCGGCAGCCAAGCAGTGCGACCAGCGTACAGCAGAACATCTTCAACAAGAGAATTTTCCTCTTCTTCGCTCAGGACAGTCACGGGACCAACTTTTGCTTTCATGGCCACCGCGCCATCGAGACGGCTAATCGACCACCTATCTAGCCCAAGAGCCTAGAGGCCTCTCGGATCTTCATGCCACCTCTAGTTGCTTCACATTCCTTCCGAGCTTGCTCTGGGTCCACCTGGCGGCGGCCCATGCTTATCAGCAAAACCAGCAAAAGACCGAAGATGGCCCGCGTCGGCGGTGGGTGGTGGTGGTGCTGCTGTATCTCGTCGCTGGATGCTCTGATTGCGACGCTGAAGTGCTCAAACGAAAGCTTCAGTCTCGCGCGAACTTCAAAAAAAAGTTCTAGGGGCTCCGTGACTGCTGTATCAATGAGTTGAAAAAATGTGGTTGTAAGAAGGGTGTTTGCCCGACACATACTGGCATGTGGTGCCCACATACCCCCCCGGATACGAGCGAGCGGACAGCTCAGCATCGTAGACAAATACGCGGGTACCACGACGCATCCCCCGTGGCATGTACAGTAACCGGAACCCGACCGGCTGGCGGCGGACAAGAAACCCATTGTCACGTGCCCGGATTCGAACCCGGAACTTTGACATTGCGGGGATGACATGCTGCCGCTGATACCACTGTTGTTGTTGTTGTTGTTGTTGTTGTTGTTGTTGTTGTTGTTGTTGTCTTCACATTAAAAACCATCCCGGTCTCTCTATCCAGTACCTGTTCGTGATAAGTTGCTGCTGTGTGTATCGACAGAGTAACGTAGCACAATTTGATTGGACAGTTTTGAATTGCGGGACTGTCGGCGTTGCAGACTGCCGAGTAGCCACATATTATCAGAACAGCGAGGAACGTTCTGTAGGAATGTTCTTCGTGGATAGTGCATCACCCCGAGGATTTATGGTACGTTAACAAGTACGGTAGCCCCTGTTGAGTCGTTGTGTTCCGATATTATTGTGTTC